TGAAAAATAATGTGTTTTTTGAACATTAAAGCATGTCAACATATTCTGTTACACCAAATACACAAAATAATGATCTTTAAAAAAGCATCATATGACCCCTTTAAATGTTAACCGGCTTGCCATAACCGCAATGATTAACCTGATTTGTTTATAAACGATCATCGAGTAATCACAACAACGTGCTATTGGACCATTCTTATTAGCGCTGAGAAAAGTTACACTACCCATGCCAGCGGTTGACGGTACATAAGAATAGGATGTTTAGTGCACTAGGACCATGAGAAGTGTGACGTCTGTCTGCTCCAATGTTATTGTGCATGTCATGGATAGTGGAGTTAAACAAGGTGAGTTTATGACTGCAAGGACAGACAGCAAACACAGACGTTTAAATGTTTTAGCAGCAGTAACGTTCATCTGAGGGGATATCAAGGACGCACTCGAAAGAGAAGAAGGATCTCAGTGACTTTTGAAAAAGGTTAGTTCATAATCTTACTGGCCTAAGTTTTAATTAACGTGGTATCAGGTGCTAATACCGTGGTATGATATACATGGTAATAAATTACTCTCACAAAGAAGAACTGTCCTTTTTGGACATGGTACAATAGCGTGGCAGTACCGTGTTATGCATGCAATATATTTCATTGTGAGTAAATCACTCGCATATGCGACTAAATGACGTCTAATATTAGCCAATTGCTAATAAATTCTCTGACTGAGCGCTTCAGAGTTTCACTCTCCGTCAAGCGATCTGTGCTGTTTTCAGTTCATCTGAATGGATGTGCAACGCGCCTGTATTTATCGTACCGTAAACTCTAGTGTGAAGGCGCACGACGAAAAAAAAAAAAGTTACATTGTAATGGAAATAACGTCTATATACACTGGTAGACATTCAGTGTGACAGGTGTCCTTTTAATGTGACAGGTGTGCTTGGTGAGCCTTGCACAAATCATCAATTCTGGGGGCAATCTTTGACAGGCACACCCTCATCTCATCTTTGACATCAAGCCTTGCTCTTTGCTTTGTTTTAATGGAGCCCAGGGCTGAAAACCTACTCTCACACAAGTATGTAGTTGCAAAAGGCAAGAGTATCTTTAGTGCGTTTTGTGTGAGCTCTGGATATGTTGACAAAACAACAGGGCTCAACCAAAATTATGTTATATCACGTCCACAATTCTGACGCAGAAAACGGTCATTGCTGAGATCAATCAACTTGTCCTCCTCTGTCACAGTTAAACTATGAGGGATGTTTGTATTGACATTTGTAAATGGATCTCTGATCCAGTCTTTGTCTGTTTTCAAGTCATTTTCCACATCACCAAAGTATTTTCTGAAACCATCAACAAGCACAGTGAGATGAGCACAGATTGTGTCAGAGATGTCCACTCTCTCTCCATCATTCAGCTCTGTGTAGCAGGGAAACATTGTTGTTACTCCATTTCTCACACGTTCTATCCAGCGTCGAACCTTCTCTGTAAATCTGTTGATTTTGTCGGACAGGTCCAGGATGTTTGTATGGGGACCCTGCATACTAGTGTTAAGTTTATTCAGTTCATCAAACACATCTGCCAAGTATGCAAGTTTTGCGTTCCATGCAGGGTGCTTGAAGTGTGTGGCCAAGTTCGAATTCTGATCGGATAAAAACTGAGCGATCTCATTGCGCAGCTCAAAAACTCGCCGCAAAACGGATCTGCGAGATAGCCAGCGGACCTCTGAGTGTAAAAGAAGTCCATGGTGATCAGAGCAGAGTGCCGAGAAAATACGAACGTTTAATGGTCGTGTCTTAATGAAGCTGACAATTTTAACAACCGAAATAAGCACTTCATTCAGATCCGGGCACAGTTCTTTTGATGCGAGTGCTTCTCTGTGTAACACAATGCGTTGGGTGACACCTGCTTATCTCTTGCAGTGAATCCCTTCCTTGAGCCTGTCATTGCTTTAGCTAAGTCGGTGCATATGCCGATGCAGTTCTCCCAACTAAGTCCCTTTGATGTCATGAATCGATTGATTTCGTCAAAAATCTCAGCTCCTGTTGTTCTGGCAGGATAAAGCACCCCAAAACGTCTTCATTGATTTTGTTCTCCCAGACATAGCGAATAAAAACCAGCAGTTGGGCTTGACTTGCCACATCTACAGACTCATCAATTTGCAGCGCATACGGAGTTCCATTTTTAAGTCTATCAATCAGCTGTGCTTCAATGTCATCTGCCATTTCTGAAATTCACCTAGAAACAGTGTTATCGGAGAGTGGTATTTTTTAAAAACTTTTTTAGCCTGCTCTTGTCCGAACATAATTTCGTATATATCAACTGCGGCAGGAATAATCAGAGACTCCGCAATTGTATGGGCCTTTTTGCATTTGGCAAGGCGCTGTGATACCGCATAAGAAGCCTTCAGGGCATTCTCGGCCACAGTGGCTGTTTTAATTATCAGCTTCTGCTGTTGTTTTAAACTGTCCAGCTTTGCCTGGAAAAATTCAGCTGGTTTTGTCGACAAGTTTGCATGTTTTGTTTCCAAATGTCTTCTCAAAACAGCTGGTTTCATACATTCATTTGCCAGTTTCTCCATACATATAACGCACATGGGAGAGGGCTTGCCATTAGCACCGTCTATGGATGTAAATCCGAATTTGATGTAGTCCTCATTGTACTTACGGTGCTTTTCTTGCTTTGGTACTTTTTTGTGCTGGCTTGTGCTTGGACCTTCTGGGAATTTTCTTTTATTTGTGCATGAAACGAACCTGTCCATTTTGCGTGACTTCGCGGTTTTCTGATATCGTGTCCATTGTCATGACGTTGGTCACATGACGCAAATTAAACAAATAATATATATTTTTGCTAGTAAGTTTTATTTCGATTTTTTATTTTAATATTACGTAGCCTATTATTTGTTTAATTTTTGTTTAAATAATTATATTTTAATTATCTGCTTGTAATCAACTCACGAACCCCCTGCAATTCCCTCGCGAACCCCCAGGGGTTTGCGAACCCCAGTTTGGGAAACCCTGTTTTACTACATCAAGTTAAACAAAATAAACATGAGAAATGTTTTCTTGCTAAGTTTTTCCATTTTATTTGAAGTAATGATTTTTTAAAAATGATTTCCGTTTTAGTTTTAGTTTAACGTTAGTTTATCTATAATAACGCTGGTAGTACCATGGTATGGTACAGCCACAGTACTGTGTAAATTTACTACAGTAGTACCATTTTGGGGCACGTACCATGGTAATACTTATTTCTTTGCACATGCCCCATGAAAATACAACATTTTCCACATGTACATGACATTACTGTGGTATTTTTTGTAACTTGTAGTAAATACCTTGGAGTAAACACTAGTATATGAATATGGAAACCATACAGTACCATGGTATTTCCATTACCATCCCTATACTATTGTACTGCCACAGTATGTTTTTGTTATGGGAAATAAAAGTTCATTTGGTTCCTCACCATTTTGTTTTTTCCAGATATTCTTTTTGTGGGTCCACCACCACCATCATCATCATGGTGGAGATAAAGAGTTACTGTGAAGTGGGAGTCTCCATGCAGCATGTCTGGGTGGAGGGCGGTCTGACTCTCTGCTTCTACTTCACCCTGGTGCCATCCGTCCTCCTCACCCTCTCCTTCCTCTTCGGCACTTTTCTGTGTATATGCTACAGACGCTACGGCACAGACATGGAGCCCAAGTTCATCCCTCGCTCTCGACTTTACCGGCTCCAAGTGGGCCTGTCAGTGCTGCTCGTCCTGCAGGCTCTGGGCTGGATGGTGTTTCGAATCACTCGGAGCGGAGAGCTACCGGGATACGTGGTTCTGTCTGGCTGTCTCTCCATGCTGGGCTGGATTTGGGCCATGGCCCTGCTTCATCTGGAGAGGAGGAGGGTTCTGGTGCGGGACAGAACCAGAGGACACAGTACGGTACTGTTGCTGTACTGGGCCATAGCATTTGCGGCTGAAAACCTGGCGTTTGCGTCTTGGATGAGCCCTCAGTGGTGGTGGACTCTGGAAAAGTCTGATCAACAGGTACATGTGTGTGTGATTGGTTAGGGAGACTGACTGTTTATGTTAATGATGATTTGTTGCAATAATCTTAAGTACATGGGATTTTTTTTTTCCTGTTTATCATCCACCAGTTGGAAAGTAATGGCTTATTTCTCCTAAACTTTATTCATGTTGAGTTTTGTCAAGTTATGCAGATTGTAGTACATGGGGTACTTTTTAGTGCTTTTTTATGTATTTTATATTGTATTATCTTGTATTTCTGTACCATAACCTTTGGCACTGATGCCATTGTTCTGTCTGAAGTGGAAATATTTCAAAGTGGTGACGTGGGAATGCTGCTCACAAAAGCATGAATCAGCATTATGGTAACAGTGTGAAATTTACGATAAATAGAGGATCAAACAAATGACTGCAGTTTTGTCAATTCTGTCTTGATGGTCATTAGCAATATTGTTGAGTCATTATGTGTATTTAAATAGCAGGCAGTGACATGTGTAAATATTGTTGAGTCATGGTCATTTCTAGCTGTATTCCTTCCTACCTGCATTAGCCACACCCCGACCATTTAAGATTGACCAATCAGATAACAGTTTTTGCACCACTTCATGACGTGGCAGTTTTACTTTACTCACTCTAGTCTTGCTTTAAACTTTGAATGTTGAATGCAGAAGTTAAATGCATGTTTTAAAAATGGCAACAAATTTGCCAGACTTTCCTAAATAAGTATTTACAAAAATACTCCAGTTTTCAAATAATTGGAAAAGCTTGGAATATATATA